AATCCACAACTAATATTGGTGGTGAACCAACATTTTTGCAAAAGGTTTAAGTGGCCTAAGCTACTTAAAGCAGTGACCTAAGCAATAAATTAAATGCCCTTTTTGATTTATAAAATTGGCAACTATTCCAAAAGCCACCCAACCTTTTTGAGGCAGTGCATTTTAATTCTTTGAGTTTGTTTTGGCCAGTGGCATAATTTTGCAAAGTCAATTGTGGCAAAAGAAAAATGCAAAAGCTGCTGGAAAAGAAAAACAAAAAAAAAGGAAAGAAGAAGGGGTGGGAGAGCCCCTGGCCTCCCCTTGGGCTTCGGCCCATCCCAGCAGGCCGGCCCACCTCACCAGCCTGGCCGGCCCAGCTCCCCGAAGCGCGCCCCCTTCCTGTTCCCCTGGTGCGCGCCGCTACAGGGGCGCCGTCCCCGCCGAACCACCTCGCCGTCGACGAGGAGGATAAGGTCGACCCCTCCCCTCGACGCCTCGGCCTCCTCCCCAGCTACCCCCACTCACCTCCGCCTCTCCCACTCCCCTCCGGATTCCCCCTCGAGCACTCCCCTCTCTCGGACCCGAGCGCGCTCGCCGCCGTGCCTCGGCTGTCCTCGCGGCCACCGAGCCCCATTCGCCTCGCCATCGAGCCCATCATCTCCGCCGCCGTCGTCTACCCAGTCCCCGTCCGTGAGCGCGAGCCAGGAGCCACTACGGGGAGCGGATCGAGCAGCCCCCTTTCTCCTCTGTCGCCGGTGACCGCCGTCATCTCCGGCCACCTCTGCGCTCCTAAGATGTCGCAGGCTTTTCGTAGCCGGTCGGTGAGCTCCTCCCTCCCTCCTTTCTTCTCCTCGCACCGCTTCGCCCTCCCTAGCTCACTCGCCGCAGCTGCAGTAGCTCACCGCCGCCTAGACCCGCAGTCGTTGTGGCCACGCTCACCGTCGAGCTCAACCGAGCACTGCACCGTGCCCAGCACGCTCCGAGCAGCCTGGCACACATGCCAGTTGCCCCTGTCGTGCCCTACTTCGACGAGCACGAGCTCGCCCGAGCTCCGGCGTCCGCCGCGGTCGACGCCACCGTCGACACCGTCCATCCCAGCCTCGGCTGAGACCTCGAATGGGTGCGCCCGACCCCCTGCTTTTGAACGCGCTGCCCCACGCTGCTTTTGAGCGCCCGTAGCCCCGTCCCCGATGGTGCCCGAAGCCAACCGCCGCCCACGCTCACCGCTGGCGCCGATTCCGGCCAAGTCCGGTGATGCTACGGCCACCACTGGACGCGGCGCTGAGAGCTCGTTCGTATGAGCCTAGCCCCGCTCCTCCCCGAGCCCTGTACGCGTTTTCCGGCGAGGTCCGGCGCCCCTCCGCCGCGGGAACGCTCACCGGAGCTCCCCAACGCCGGCGCCGACGTGGACGTCCGGGTCCACCTCGCCAGGTCACTGCCCCGTGGCCCCAGTGGCCCGGCTAGCCCTGTTGACCTAGTCAATGGCTGACTAGGCATGGCCCAGTCACTGCCAGTGGGTCCCCCGTGGACCCTGTTGACTAGTCAACTAGTCTGTTGACCGCTGATGCAACAATGACGCCATGATGACGTCATATTTCCTTTTCTGTTAATATAAATAATTCCATAATATTGTTTAAACTTTAAAAATTCATAGAAAATAAACCGTAACTCCTATGAAAATGTTTTCTATATGAAAGTTGCTCAGAAAAATCCAACGAATCTGAATACGCGGTCCGTTCATCTGTCACATGCCCCTAGCATGCTGAACATGGAGCTTTCCCCCTCCGGTCATCTGTCTGACACAGGTCCGGAACCGGGAACACCTTCCCGGTTGATTTCCCCCTTCACCTATAACGTCTAGGACCGCGTTAGAGCACGCTTAGCGCTACGTATCGTCATGTCATGCTTAGTGTTACCTCTGTTTACTATGTATTTACTGTTTCTTCCCCCTCTTCTCTCCGGTAGACCCCGAGGCCGCTGATGCCCCGGTGATCGACTACGTCGTCGACAATGACCCCTCCTTGCCAGAGCAACCAGGCAAGCCCCCCCCCTTTGATCATCCCGATATCGCCCATTCCATTCTCTCATGCTTGCATTAGATTTTACTACTGTTATTGTTTGCTCCTATTCTGATGCATAGCCTGCTTTTGTATCTGCTGTTGTACCTTACCTGCTTATCCTAATCTGCTTAGTATAGGTTGGTTAGTGATCCATCAGTGACCCCCACCTTGTCCTTGTTGCCCCTGCTTCATCATTGAAGACCCGATCAACGGGATTGAAGACCAGGCCCCGGCACCGCACATCACTTTCCCCTTAGTTGCTCGACACTGCTGGGTTACCATCGAGTGCCGAGGGTGAGACCTCTACAGCACTTCTGATGTTAACCTGTAGTGTAGCTATTCGGTCGTGTTCATCGAGGGTGATTTCCTCATTAACCACTTCCGATACGGCTCTGTCGTGCAACCCCTCAAGTGTGAACCTCGAGGGTGATTCCTCTACGTTCACCTTGATGATTACATTGAGTGGAACCCACCGGGGGTGATTCCTTGGGTTTTCCTCTTGATGTTTGGACACACGGATACTTGGACTTTACAACTGTTACTTGGAAAGTGATGTGGAGACGGGTTGACCTGGAAGGTGCCCGTGAGATAATTACGAGGCGTGGCCGGGCATTCTTAGCCCTTGCCGCAAGTCCTCGAGACGGGGCAACGGGGTCACCTCTTTCGTGAGTCTCTGCTTGTTACCGCGCGTTCCTAATCCACTACGATTTGGATATTTGATCCGAGGGGCCTCTGGCCTGATAGCACTAACCATCACGTGGGCATAGTATGGGCGTTCTGCGTCGTATGCATCAGCCGAAGCTTAATAGACGTCAGCGATGGAGCGGCGCGCGCCGGGTTGGACTGGTAAGCTCCTGCCTTTTTAGGGAGGTAGCTAGGTCTGCTCATCGGCCGCCCACGCAACGTGCAGGAGTTCCCGGGGTGATGGCCCATGACCCCTGGGGGCATAGGTTTAGTCCGGCGTGCTTGACCTCTCTATTAAGCCTAGGTCGGGTTGCGGCGTATTGTTTGGCCGAGGCCGGGCATGACCCAGGAAAGTGTGTCCGGCCGGAGTCAATCGAGCGTGGTGGGTAAGTTGGTGCACCCCTGCAGGGAAGAACTAATCTATGCGTAGCCTGTCCTACGGTAACGGACACTTGGAGTTGTATCCCGATCGATACAACTAGAACTGGATACTTGTGATGAGAACTGGATGGTGATGAGGATTTGATTGTGATGATAACTGGATAGTATGGCTCTGGGATTGCTTTCTCGCAGGGAGTCGAGAAAGGATCTCTGGCCGAGGTTGATAACACTACTACCACTTTACTTTATGCTACTCTACTCCCTCTTGTTTGCTGCAAGATGGTGGTTTCCAGAAGAAGCTAGTCTTCGATAGGACTAGGCCTTCTCTCTATTCTGGCATTTCTGCAGCCCAGTCCACATATACAACACCTCTTTGATAATGTTGCATCTGTAGTGTAGATCCTTGCTTGCGAGTACTTTGGATGAGTACTCACGGTTGCTTTGTTCCGCCTTTTCCCCCTTCTTTCTTCTTTCTGGTTGTTGCAACCAGATGGTGGAGTCCAGGAGCCAGATGCCACCTTTGACGACTGCTGCTACCCCGAGGGTGCCCACTACCACGTGACGGACGCCGACGACCAAGAGTAGTTAGGAGGCTCCCAGGCAGGAGGCCTTGCCTTTTCGATCGTTGTTGTTTTGTGCTAGCCTTCTTAAGGCAAACTTGTCTAACTCATGTCTGTGCTCAGATATTGTTGCTTCCGCTGACTCGTTTGTATTCAAGCTGATGTATTCGAGCCCTCGAGGCCCCTGGCTTGTAATATAAAGCTTGTATTATTTTAATTTGTGTCTAGAGTTGTGTTGTGATATCTTCCCGTGAGTCCTTGATCTCGATCTTACACATTTGCGTGTATGATTAGTGTACGATTGAATCGAGGGCTTCACATGTACTATGTTTATACTAACGTATGATACTATTATTCACTATGAATGTTGTATGATGCAGTAATGTCTACTCCCTCCGTTCCTAAATATATAAGTGTTTTTAGACATTTTAAATGGAATATAACATACAAATGTATATAGACATATTCTAGAGACTCATTTTGCTCCGTATGTAGTCATTTGTTGGAATATATAGAAAGACTTGTATATTTTGGAACGGAGGGATGATAGACGCATATGATACTCCTCATTACGGTCGTCCTAAACTAAACTAGTTGTGGTTATACTAGTTACCGAAAAGAGTAGTAGCACTATGGTGGTAGTATTTATTTGCCGCCAGAAAACAAACAAACATAGTATATACAAACATAGTATATATCAAAAAAGAATTCGTTTCAGGAAAAATGAAAATGAAAGAATTGTGGATAAAAATCTAGTAAGGTGCACCTGCGCAGGTAAGGTTGGGATCTTGTGCGGATGCAGGTGGCACCTCCGGCTCCAGCTCCGATGTGGTAAGCGACGACGTCTGTGTGTCTGCACTATGCACAGAGGATGAGATGAGGGGAGGGTGACGTCACGGTGCTCTGTCGTATCCAGCCGCCCTACTTCAGCAATTTGGGGTCCCTGTCACGTGCGTTACTCTAAATAAAAACCTCCCTCCCGTATTTGTACTATGTTGTAAGTAGATCCACACATATATATAAATATATATATGGGTGCATAAAATACTACACCGTATTTGGGAGGAGGTGGGACCCACACATGGTCAGCTGCCTGCGGTGCTGTAGGAAGGAAGGTAGTATGAAGAAGACTAGTCAAAAATCAAAATCAAAATCAAAATCGGCGGGGGTGATGGTTATAAAAGCTCAGCCATATGCCAACAAGCTCATACCAATTCCTTCCTAACACTTTTGTTTCTGAGTTGGAGCAAACCACAAGCAAACAGAGCTTCTTCTTCCTCCTCCTCCTCTTGCTTCTCCTCTCCGTCCTTCCATTCTTTCATTCATCCATCCATCCATGGAGCAGCAATTCATCCATTTCGGCGCCACCACCTCCTCCACCAGCAGCTTCTACAGCACACCCACGCCCACGCCTCCTCCTCCCGAACAAGCTCAAGCTGCTGCAACCTTGGCCTCCTCCACCCCCGACTACCACACCAGCTCCTCACCCATGTCGTCGGCCTTCGACATGGGCGACACCGACGACATGCACCTCCTCAACACCCTCCTCCTCCACATGTCTGGCTCTGGCACCGCTGCTTCTTCCCACCATTACGCCTTCGACCTCCACATGGACGTGGACGTGGAGCCTTCCTCCTCTTCAACAAGCTCCTCCTCCTCTTCCTACTCCTCCTCCGACCACCACCACCAGCAGCAGCAGCAGGGGATGCCAGCCACCACAACTGCTAAGCGCCGTGCACCGCAGCAGCTGCACCCCGCGGCCACCAAGGGCCTCATCGGCGTGCGCAAGCGGCCCTGGGGCAAGTTCGCCGCGGAGATCAGGGACTCCACCCGCAAGGGCGCCCGCGTCTGGCTCGGCACCTTCAACACGCCCGAGGCCGCCGCCATGGCCTACGACCAGGCCGCCTTCTCCGTGCGCGGGGCCGCCGCGGTGCTCAACTACCCCGTCGACCGCGTCCAGGAGTCGCTCCGCACGCTCGCGCTCCGTCCCGACGTGCCGGGAGGCTCCCCCGTCCTGGCCCTCAAGCGCCGCCACTCCATCCGCAAGCGATCCCCCAACAAGGCCAAGAAGACTGCTACTCTTCTGGCGCCCACAAAGATGATGATCAACGACTCCGCGGCCGCGCCGGTGCAGCAGCAGTCGGCGGCGGCATGCGCGGGCGTGGTGGAGCTGGAGGACCTTGGCGCTGACTACCTGGAGGAGCTGCTCCGGGTGTCCGACGAGCCGTCGGCTTCATCGACCACCATGGTGATGGGGGCCTTTGATCATCATCACCATCACCATGTCGACGACCAATCGGCGCTCGCCAACACGGCGCCCATGCTGTTCCCTCATTGCTAGCTACAAAGCTCGCTTGCTACAATGATCCATATGGCTGGCTGGCTCAACCGCCGGCGCCTCCTCCTCCTCTGCCCTGCTTTGAGTCAGTTAATTGCAAATAGTGCCTGTCCTCTCAGTTTTCCTTCCATTCTACACTAGTAGCTCTTTTTTCTTTCTTCTTGTCCGACCCTGCTCTGCTTGCATGCCCCGGCAATCAGGCCGCAGCGGCCAACGGCTTTTGTATGTACGTACGTATGTATATGTAGTAGTATGCCTCTCTGTTTCGTACGTACTACGTCAAAAAAAAAGAGAGAGAGCTAGTTATAGAAGAATAATATACATACATACATATGCCAACGGCTTTCCATACAATTATTATCATCGTGCGTGCAGGCTATCTATCTATATTATGAATGGCATGCACTTCCAAATTTTCTCGACATGCATGTGATGTGAGTATCTATGTACTCTAGTCTACTCTAGTCCAGGGGTGCAGTTGCACGTACGTACCTGTGGCTTGCATGTGGCCACCACCACGCAGTTATCACTAGTACTTCGTGGTACTACCTTGCTATTTTCTCCCTAACCATCCGCAAGGGTTGTGGTACTTGTGTGAAAGTGGACATGCATGCTGAGTAGCCATCCATGTATCTATCCATTCAGCTTGCTTCTTCCTTTTTCAGCACTAACTAATAATACTTACTACATAAAAAGGAAAGGAAAAAACAAAAGGCTCCACATCCATCTATGAAAAACGATCCTCGAGAGTTGAGTTTTGATGTCCTGTCGGAGTCTTTTCTTCCACTGCCGTTGGCGGCGCAACCTCCTTGTCATGTTTTCATGCCACGGTCACTTCGAGTTTTTCACCGTCACAAGAGCTTGAAGTTGCGAGTCGATGTGGCAAGTTCTAATCGGTACGACCGCATGCATGCATCTTTGTTCGACAACCTCCTTGTTGTGTTTTAACTAGTTTTCCATGCCTCGATCAGTTGGCGTTGCTGACCGAGGTATGGAAACACAACAACGAAGTTGTAAATCTCTTGCCATCTTTTCGTGTTGTAGCTTTGTGAAAAGTTGTTCCGGTGGGCTTTTGCTCCCCACCCTTCTCCCCCTAGCCAGAACCAGAAGGCCTTCGGAAAATGGCATTAAAATGTTGAAGTAATACATAGTAATCTGTTTTACTATGAAAGAAAGAAAGGAAAATGATCGTCCGTTTGGAAGAAGCTTCTTACAATTAACACTTGCTGGATCGTTTAAAAGTTAGTATTTGGTTGGGCTTTCGCGTCGCGTAGACTTTTTCTAAAGTAAAACAGGGAAAAAATAGTGAATTAGATGGCATAAAAATGTGGGAGTGAAAACTGTTTTGCTTTGATTTGATGGATGGTCGTGGTGGAAGCTTCTTATGCCCTTCCTTCCTGGATCGATTGGTCCCATCTACTAGAAGATATAGTTAGAATATTTGGAGCGACCGATCTCTCGCTGTCTCTGTGATTATAACCTGGACTTGTTTATTTATTTGTGGCATCAATCCATCATACTATCATACTAGTACTAGTGCCTAGTGATATTGACCAATCCACAATTTTTGACATATTGATCGGCATGCATATAGTTCTACTACAATAGAATATAATACATAGTGGCGCGCGCTACAAATATTAGCTGGCAATGACAAATTGACAATGGCATCAAGAAATTTGATTTTGACTGGGTCGCGTCAGCGGGGCGGGGCGCCGCTTAACTGGTCACTACGTACCCACGCCTACGTACTACTATAGCTAATCGATCTGATTACTACTACATAAAATAGTACGTACGCAGTATATTGCAACAGTACGTTTCCGAATTCCGATGCACCGCCGTAGTACTAGTATTGCAACAGTACGTTCAGGTACTCCAACTAGTCGCCCAATTCCACTGATTCCATCCATCCATTTGTGATTTGTGGCGCACCACACGGAATCGAATCCATTTCTGTCCAAATGATCCATGCCTTGGATCACTTTCCTTCCCTAGCTTTAGCTTTAGCTAGACCATCCATGTGTGCTTGTGCTGCACCTTCACAAATATACTATAGTACATACTTGACCCTCGGTAAACAAAATATAGTACTCCCTCTGTTCATTTTTATAAGACCTTGAAGACATTTCGGACAATGTACAAAATAGCCCATTTGAAGTTGTCTGAAATGACTTACAAAAGTGAACAGAGGGACTACTTAAGATTGTTTAGATCATTAGATTAGAGTACTTGCTGAGGCCACTCCACAACTTAAGTAGTAATTGGAGACTAAGCCATTGATTAATTACTCAATACTGGAGTAGTACTGCATGCCTGAGAGTGAGTGAGTGGTGCATCATGTCAGATTTTTTCCAACCCACAGCAGTGAAAGCACTGCATCTGCATCTGCATGCATTCAACCTACTACAGTACCTCTCAATTCTCATTGGCGATCGCTTTCAATCGGCCAATAAGCAAGTAGCAATCTTTCGAATTCAGACTTACTTTCAAAGTCCAAATTATTTAGCTAACTGCATGCTACGTATGATTCCTGCTCGCTCGCTCCAAAAGTCCACCACCGCCACTGCATGCACACAGAGTTCAGTCTTATATACTTAGGAGTACGTTTCTTCGGTCCATCGGAGGGACTTTCCCCCCTTTAATTTTTGGATTGGATGGATTGGAGTAGTCGTATAGGATGCTACCTCTGCTCTTCAGCCACTTGCATGCATGCTGGCTCTCAAGATGATGATGATCAAAGTAAACGGTGAAAGTGAGAGCATTTACAGTCAGATTTAGCAAATCTGCCTCCCTAAGCGTCCTCGGACGCTCCCGCTCACTGACCAGACGTATTCGTAGTACTACTAATGAGATTGACAGTTCCATAATTGTTGAAATGCCTATCGCTTTCAGGATTATACTTACTGTACAATACAATACAATAAGGGAAAAACACGCACGCACGAGCTAGCTTACTTAGTTTGGCTTAATTAGCTCGCACTCACACTCTACTACTCCCCAATGGATGTCACATGCTCTCATTCCCTTTGTTTCGATGTCTCTACCGGAGGGCTCTGTACTGAATGGGTTGGAATACCGATTCAACAAGAAAATTGTAATGGACATGCATACAAATTCACTTGTTTCGATGTTCATGAAGGATAATAAGCGTTCCTACTCCCTCGAGGGGAGCCGCGTCTCGTATATATTGATGTGGGGCAGAAGCCTTGCCTTGGCGTACAAGAGATATTACAGGAGTTTGAGTAGAACAAGGAATAGGAAGGAGGTTGAGATTACAACGCAACGGGATATAGAGATCTCTACTCCTAATGGACGAGTTGGTTGAATAGTCCCATCATTTTTGTCTGGGTTTTTTTCGCCTGGTTTTTTTCATCTCCCCTTCCACCCCTTTTCTATGGGTTTACTTTCCTCTACACAGTTTCCTTGTAGACCAACACTTTACTAACGTATAAAAGATCACAGGTCTAACTTTCCTAATTTACCTAAATCAATCGATTCCTCCCATCAATGCAATTTGCTTTAGTAGGAAATAAAATAACGAATTGAAAGGAAACAAATAACAGAATTTAAGGAAAAAATCCCCCCTTCCGGAATCTCTCCCTCCTCCATGAGCAACTGCCCTGGCCATAGTGTGTCGGTTGCCTCCCCTCCCCCCAGGCATCGACCACCTCCCTTCCCGCATAGTCGGTCGCCTCCCTCCACCGGTTGCCGGCCTCCTGCTTGCCATGCGCTGGCCACCAACATCCCTGCCGCTGTCCAAGGCTTTCCACCATGCGACGGCCGCATCTGTGCTGCCGCCGCCTCCATCTCTCTCTCTCTCTCCACCGCACGCCACCGCCTCCATCCTCTCACTCCACCGCACGTCGCCTGCTGGATCTCGTTGTCGAGCACATCGGCCACCTAGGCCACCAACCTCGCAATTGGCCATCTCGACCACCACGATCTGCACCGACCACGCCCGGACCCCTACTCTGTGCCATCTACGGCCTCAGACGACGAGGCGCCCCTCCGTTGCATCTATGTATGTTCACCATTGGGTCTACTTTCTCTGTTCCCATCTAATCACACAGCGTGACCACGAAAACATGACGACATGGCATAGGCGAGGGTGGAGAGGAGGCAGAACATGGAGGCCCTTCCTCTCAATGGCAGCGAGGAACGTAGAAGGAGTGGAGGCGCGCCATGTGGACAAGAAGCCGTCATGACATCCGGTATGTTTGCTTCAGTGCGCTTTTTCTTTTAACATCTATCCCATGGTGTGTGGCTTCAATTGCTTAAACTCCACCGCGACATGGGCTGTGAAGGTGCCCTAGAGAGGGATAATGGATATGAAGGACGTTCATATGAATATTGAAGCAATTCTGATTGAGAGGGTTGGTGAGCCTGCTAAGAAGATATATACTACTAGGAGCTGCAATGACCTAATTGTCACGGGTCATAGACGGGTGTCAAGATGCTATTGACAAGATTTTGATTTGCATCAAACAGTTTCAGGTTTTTTCTTTAATTTCAATCATGATGTTCATGATGTGCGCTTATAATCGGGTTTAAATATCTGGTGTACATACTATTGTTTCTCCTGTGTCATTTGTTCACATTTGTTCACACGGACATTACAGATTCATCTACACATGAATTTGTGTTAGATCAATTGACATTTTTAAACTATTTTGGCCTGGTATACCACTTCAACATTTGTGAATTTATTTGAAAAGCCTAAAATATCCATTGTTATTTCTCCAGTAAGATATCCGCCTTTGTAAATTCTGCCCTATTCCTTTTCCTTCTTTCAGGAAAGTGGAAGGAGTGATGAAGAACTGAAACATAGTTACATTGGGATTTTTTATGGGAACAAGACCGAATAATTTGACATTAACATAATTTTAGTACTAATTCAGGTGTCCCTGATTTTATGTTTTCCTGAATGCATTGGCGGCAGTTTGCGTATTCTTGCAGGTACATTTTCTATTAGCTTTAGTGAGGATCAATTATTTCTGTGT